AGAAGTGTTTACAAAAAATAACTATTTTATTTTGTAGATTTTCTTGCAGTGTAGTGGCGAAATACCCATAAAGGATTTTTTTGGAGAGATGAATCCGCCACATAGGTATAGACATTTTTTAAAATCATAACTGTTTATCATGGTATCATAAAAATTCCTTTTTTTTCAAATGATAAATTAAATTTTTCAAAAATAATCATAATTTTGTCAAAAAAGTTGAAAAAACTTAGGAATTTACCGAGTGATTAACTTTAACCGTGAATAACTTTTGAAGGAGGAGGTTTATCGAAAAATTGTAAATTGGGGACCTTTTATTGTAGAGCGTTTAATTCTGTACAAGTGTGTCATTGCTGCACAGTGTGTTGTTGACTGCGAGAAAACAAGATCGAGAGAAAAAAAATATTTGCAAAAAGTGGCAAATTCCCATGTATTTTAAATGGGAAATGAATCGTCTTTGAGGCAAGGTTTATTGTGAATATTAAAGGTTTACAATGGTCTGTTATTTTTTTAGACAATAAACTAAAAATTTAGAGGGCGTCGTGAGAGAAATGATAAACTTTGTAAATAACGGACACCCTAATAATTATACAAGGTAAATTTGAAATAAGTACATATATTTTAGTGCAGTCGCGCGACTCTCCCACCTAGGACAGCTTCGTAAGAAAACGTTGTTTGATTAATAGGCATCGCTCGCACCGCCCGAATCGCGCGCTTTTGTCTCCCACGTAGGACGAAGCCTTATTAAATAAAAAATAACGTCCTCATCTCTCAATTACACGAGAAAAAACAAAATGTCGTTATTTGTCGAAAGTTTAAAACACTCTGCAGAATGGTTTAACAAAGTAAAAAAATTAGAAACTACTTCATCAAGGTGCATCTTTTCTTGAAAGTGTGTTTTTTAATTCCATCTCAATATTTATTTTGTTGGACATATTCGCTTTTGAAGAAGACAGTAACGATAAATAACAGAATTAAAAAGATATATGCATATACAGGGTGGTCCGAACTGTATTCCGAAAACTTCGGTAGCATATTCTGCAGATAAAAATAAGTAAAAAAATCGTATAAATGTATGTCCTAAGATACTTAGTTTCGGAGATACAGGCTGTAGCAGTTTCATTTTTATTTCGATTTTTTCTAAATCATTTTTGAAGTAACGTCAATATTTGGACGAAAATTGGTGTCTGGGAGTTTTGTGACACGAGAAATTTAATTTTGATGTCAAAATGACTCCTATTTTTAAGGGGCGCGACCTACATGCGTTTTTACTGTTTTGAATGGTAATAACTTTCCGTCCGTACCTCTATAAAACTATTGAAAAAAAACATTTATGAAACTAAAAAATATACATTTCCATGACTTTTTACGTAAAAAATGTCTCTTGGTAAAAATCGCTACGAGCAACCGTTCTCAAGATATTTGGATTTAAATAGTCAATGCATGTCATTAATGACAAAAAATAAGCACGCGCGCTCAGTATAGTTATTTGACTGAAATAATACATTTTTGATTGTTTTAAATTAATCATAAATTTTTCTGCGAAAAAATGATTGTTCGCAGAGTTTGGATGATTCTTTCTGTTGAACTTTTGGCACAAAATGATTTCAAATTTATGATTTCAGTCTAATAAATCTTTAGTCAACATGTTTAATTTATGTCAATGATGACAGATATTGATAATTTCAATTCCAAATATCTCGAGAACTATTACTCGTAGCGATTTTTACCAAGAGACCTTTTCTATGTAAAAAAGTTGTAAATGTATATTTTTTTACTCAGTAGCTTTAGACAGGTATGAACGAAAAGTTATTACTCTTCAAACCAGTTAAAACATATGTAGGTGGCGCCCTCTACAAGTAGACATGAAAATCAAATTTCCCATGTCAAAAATCTCCCAGACACCAATTTTAATCCAAATAATGACGTTACTTCATAAATTACTTGAAAAAAATCGAAATAATAATGAGACTTCTACACCCTGTATCTGTGACACTAAGCATTTTAGGACATACATTTATACGAACTTTTGTACTTATTTTAATCTGTAGAATATGCTGCCGATGCTTCCGGAATACTGTTCAAACCACCCTGTATATACAAATCAGTTCATAACGTTCTTCGCCGTCTTCTGATTTCCAATCTCCATTGGTCTCTGTCTGTCCAGAGGTTTTTGTCTATTCCTCTTGTTCTGATGTCTATTCCTTCTCCCCAACTCCGTCTAGGTCTCCCTCTCTTTCTTTTACCTTGTAGTGTACAATTGAGTACTTTCTTTGGGATTATTATTATTAGTGCATTTAGGTTATTACTGAAATATTTTTCTAAAAAAAACATGTGTGCCACTGATTTTTTTTTTCTCATTAGCAAAATTGTGTAGACCGTTTAATTCCGATTAAAAATTATCTCTTGACATTTTGTCGATTTTAGCCTCCTTGATGAGATAAACGCAATTTTTATTAATTTGCCTTAATCCAATTTTAGTAGCAACCTTTAAAAAATCTTAATGTCTTTAACAGACCAAACGGCTAAATATGTATTAATTGATTAAAAGATCAAAAAATATTAATAGATTAAAAAAAGGTCATATAAACATAGGTGTAAAAATGCATTGTTTTAAAGTTACAGGATACTTTTAAAAAATAGGTCTTTTGCAATTATCTTAAAAATTATTTTTTCTTCACAAGTCAGCGGCGCACAAGTTTTTTTTAGAAAATGATTCCAATGATAACCCATATGCAATTCCCTAGTGAATATAGTCGACATATTTTTAGCATTAAAATATGTTCCACTTATTATAACTTTTACCATCAAAATGTCATTCGAATCGCTAAAAGAAGAAGGCACCCTGTGTGATATTATCCAAAGAGGACTGAGCTGAGAGATGGTGCAGGACTGTCGGGCTGAGTATTAACTCAGATAAAACCGCAGTAGTGCCATTCACCAGAAAGCGAAGTTTGAAAAACTTGAAGAGAATCCATCTAGATGGAAAGGAAATACTGCCATCACAGGAAGTGAAATATCTGGGAATAACCCTGGATAGTAAACTAATCTGGAACAGGCATATTAAGAACATTACCAGCAAAGCCACAAAGGATCTCATGATATGCAGAAGACTGGCGGGAAATAGGTGGGGCTGCGCCCCTAACATTTTGCGCTGGATGTATACCATGATAGTAAGACCGATGATTACTTATGGAGAGGTTGCTTGGTATACAAAACTAGAGCAACGTACAGCAAGGCAAAACCTGTGCAAAGTACAGAGACTGGCATGTATCTGCATCACAAGTGCCATGAGAACATGTCCAACAGCAGCAATGGAGGTCATTCTAGACCTAACACCACTGCACATTGTCGTCGGTAGTTATGCCAATGCGACAATGATTAGAATGGTTACTGACGGAAACAGTACTGGGA